CCGTCAAGTTTCTTGAGGTCGATCTTATCGGCATCGCCAGGGCCAGCCTGCAGTCGGACCATGGGCGCCTTCTCCCCCTTATCCACCTTCTCCCCCTCGGCAGCGACGCGGATGTACAGGCCAAGGTTGACGACGTTCGGGGTGGGCATATTGGTCATGATTTCCCATTCCTTCTGGAACAAGCCCTTCTCGATCTCCCAGAGGATTTGCTTCAACAGTTTCGGGCTGAGGATCTCGCAGGGGATCTTGAGCTCAGGAACGGGGCCAGGCTCGGGCAAATCAGGCCAACCGGCAGCTGGGACAGTGAAGAGCTCTTCGAAGGGTACGATGGCTCCACCAGCAAACACGCTCGATTTTTCCTGCAGCACACCTACATCGCTGCGCTCCAACCCGGCTGACGGAACCAACATGAATTTCGTCATCACGTGCCCGAGATCAGCGGCGCCATGTGCGCTGTTCAGGCAGTTGAAGATATCAACCCAAACATCAATCCACAATGTCTTCGAGCCCTCCTCGTCCACCACGGGGCGCTTCATCAAGAGCACGTCGACCCCCTGCAGCTGCAGCGCCACGTCCTTGTCCTAGGGCCGAAGGTGCAAAAAAAAGGAAGAGGAGGAGGAGGAGGGCTAAGAGTCTAAGAAGACGGAGGAAGGAAGTGGGAGAGGAGGACGCAAGGGGGAGGACGTGGAGGAGGAGTCGGAGAAGGAGGAGGAGCAGGAGATGAGGAGGAGGAGGAGGGGGGTATCCAGGTATGAATGTGGATGAGGAGTCAGAGACGTCAGAGAGGCAGATAGGGGTTCGCGGGTTTGCGAGCTGGGATGGGACATGCGCGCAGCATCAATCTACTTTCGGAAGTTCGGAAATTCGGGTAAGGGTCCACACCTACCTGGTCCTCCACCAGGTCTGGTACCAGACCTCCCCTGGTCCTCCACCAGACCTCCCAGGAGGCCCTCCGGCGAGGTAGGGGAGGCCTCCAGGAGGCCTCCCCTGGTCCTCCACCAGGTCTGGGGGGAGGCCTCCGCCAGACCTCCCCCAGGTCTGGGGTCGCGGCCGTCGGAGGAGGGCTCGTGGACGACGGAGGTCTCCGGGAGGACCAGTGGAGGTCTCCGGCAGGCCTCCCCTGGTCCTCCCGGGAGACCTCCGTCGTCCAACGAGCCCTACTGCCGACGGCCCGCGAACCCCAGACCTGGGGGGGGTTTCTGGCGGAGGCCTCCCCCAGACCTTCTCCTTGGTGTGAGGACCAGGGGAGGCCTCCTGGAGGCCTCCCCTGGTCCTCCACCAGGCCTGGGGGAGGTCTGGTGGAGGACCAGGGGAGGTCTGGTGGAGGCCTCCCCTACCTCGCCGGAGGGCCTCCTGGGAGGTCTGGTGGAGGACCAGGGGAGGTCTGGTACCAGACCTGGTGGAGGACCAGGTAGGTGTGGACCCTTACCCGAATTTCCGAACTTCCGAAAGTAGATTGATGCTGCGCGCATGTCCCATCCCAGCTCGCAAACCCGCGAACCCCTATCTGCCTCTCTGACGTCTCTGACTCCTCATCCACATTCATACCTGGATACCCCCCTCCTCCTCCTCCTCATCTCCTGCTCCTCCTCCTTCTCCGACTCCTCCTCCACGTCCTCCCCCTTGCGTCCTCCTCTCCCACTTCCTTCCTCCGTCTTCTTAGACTCTTAGCCCTCCTCCTCCTCCTCTTCCTTTTTTTTGCACCTTCGGCCCTAGGACAAGGACGTGGCGCTGCAGCTGCAGGGGGTCGACGTGCTCTTGATGAAGCGCCCCGTGGTGGACGAGGAGGGCTCGAAGACATTGTGGATTGATGTTTGGGTTGATATCTTCAACTGCCTGAACAGCGCACATGGCGCCGCTGATCTCGGGCACGTGATGACGAAATTCATGTTGGTTCCGTCAGCCGGGTTGGAGCGCAGCGATGTAGGTGTGCTGCAGGAAAAATCGAGCGTGTTTGCTGGTGGAGCCATCGTACCCTTCGAAGAGCTCTTCACTGTCCCAGCTGCCGGTTGGCCTGATTTGCCCGAGCCTGGCCCCGTTCCTGAGCTCAAGATCCCCTGCGAGATCCTCAGCCCGAAACTGTTGAAGCAAATCCTCTGGGAGATCGAGAAGGGCTTGTTCCAGAAGGAATGGGAAATCATGACCAATATGCCCACCCCGAACGTCGTCAACCTTGGCCTGTACATCCGCGTCGCTGCCGAGGGGGAGAAGGTGGATAAGGGGGAGAAGGCGCCCATGGTCCGACTGCAGGCTGGCCCTGGCGATGCCGATAAGATCGACCTCAAGAAACTTGACGGGTTGAAAATGCATCTTGTCGGGCCTGTAAGCTATTCTGGCAAGGGGAAGGGGTCGTTCAAAATCATGGTGATCACCAGCGTGCTTCCCGATGGCCGCAAGATTTCGATTCCGATGTCAACCCAGGGAATCCTACAAACGTGCTTGCCACCACCCCCATGTAGAAGCTCCCAGGCTCCTAGGCACCTAGACTGTCCTAGACTCTAGTAGACTACTAGTAGACGCCTCCGTTCTAAGATATGTACATCCGTGGCAGTTGATTTTGCCAGGTCTTGAGTCTTGAGCTTTGGGCTGGTTGGCGTCGGTCTCAGCTTCATCTGATGCTCGGCTTCGGTTCGTTGCTTCGTCTGAGTCTGCGTCGCTTCTTTGAGCTCGGTCGACTGCTCTGCCCGGCGCTTTGCTAAGTGTTTCTGGAAAACAGGTACATCAACCCAGAGAGCTTGAAAACCGTGGGCGGCTCAGACAGCATCGTGCGCGGATGGCTCTTGAGGGAAGTTGTGGCAACATCGGCAACTATGACGCAGACTGATGAGATCCTCGAGATTTCTTTGGAGGGCACGGCGTTCCACGGATGCCCAGACGACCCCGACGGCTCCACGATGCCGAAGACAGCGACTGTGTTGGTCCCCACGTTGAAGCCTTCGGGCACCCTGGGCAACAAGGTTGGCAATGAACTCACCAGGCCTGCGCCCAAGGCTAAAGCCAAGAGCAAGGGGCGCAAGAGCAATGCTGGCAATGCTGAGCATGCTGCCCCAGCTGAGCCCGATCTGCTGCGCCTGATCTGCGGCGACGCCGTCGTCCAGATGGCCATCGAGGCTGAGGGCGCCGGCGCGGCGGCAAGCGAGTCCGGTGGTTCCGCCCGCAGCACCATTGATAAGAGCTCGAAGGAGTGGGCGCACTTGCTGAAATGATCTTTATTCTTTACGAGCCGAGCTTGCGGCAGAGATGATCCTGATGGTCATGCTCGTTTCCGTTTCAAGCTTTCGCGCGTGCGTCCCCGATCGAGCGCGCGGCCAAGGGGCCCGGGCACATGGGGGCTGCGACGCTGCAATGTGGAGATGCACTGCGCGAGCTGCAGTCATGCGGAGTGTGGGCCGTTCGGCTTGCTGGGGACCCCGGGGAACTGCCCGAGGGTTTCTCCGTTCTGCTTGAGAAGAATTCTTCTAGCAGCAGCGTGTATTTGTGCGCGCAAGTGGGAGAGCGAGAGATCGCTGCGCCAGGGTGGCGCTTGCCACAACTCAACAGCTGCGTTGCGAGATCTGCATGTTTGTTTCAGGGCTGTTGCGGGGCAGCAGCACAGTTTTCAGGGCAGCTCAGCTCTGCTTCGTTCGCTGAGCCTGACCGTCATGCCACGCTAGAGCGGAGCCGCGAGAGGAGGAGGATGATGAGGATGAGGATGAGGAGGAGGAGGAGGGAGGGGAGGAGGAGGAGGAAGATGGAGGGGCAGCCAGCCCAGCAGGCTCTGCAAGCCCCGCCCTTCTCAGGCGCCCCGTCGCCTCCGCGTTGTCTCGATGATGCTGTCTTGTCGCCCTGGGGATTGGAGGTATGTTCCTGAGGTCCAGCCTTGATGAGGTTCAGATATTATCGAGGATCTCTGTTGAATCATGGGGTCCAGGGGAGTCCAGGGTTCCAGGTCGTAGGAATATTCAGGGACTGAACAAACAAAAAATCTGAGGACCCAGCGCCCCCAAGGCATCGAATGACGTGCGCGGCGCGTGCTTTTAGCGCAGGGCGCTTGGCAGCGCTGCGCGCGTAACAGTAACAGCGCGTGCGCGCGTGAGCGTTTGGCCCGAGGGGCCCGTAGGGGCCGATTGGACTGAAAGAGGCAGCGTAGCATTCCTCCCACCAACTTCCGCTCCTCCCCACCACCAGTTCCCCCTGCTCCTGTCTGTCCTCCTCGGCCTCGGACTCCACCGTCCTCCTCCGTCCCCTCCTCAGTTCGCCCTTCCTTCATTATCTTCCTTCTCCTCCTCTCTCCGTCTCCCCTCCTTTTCCAACTCCTCCTCCTTCGTTGTTGTTGCCGCCGTGACCGCGGTGTCGCTGCCGCCGCCGGGGCCGCCGCCGCCCTCTGCCCTCTGCCTCTCGGGCCGGCCGGCCGGCCGGCGAGCGCAGCAGCGAGGGGGCCTGAGGAGGAGGAGGAGGAGGAGGAGGAGGGGGAGGAGGAGGAGGAGGAGGGAGGAGGAGGAGGAGAAGGAGGGAGGACGCCACGCCAACCCGCCGACCCTTGAAGGGAGCTCTCTAATCACCACGACCTATAGTACGCTCGCTACATAGGATTTGCTACGACTCGCTACGACTACGACTACGAGATTACGACTACCACGTTTCTACGACCATAGCGACATCGGGCTGTCATTGCAGTTGCGTCATGTTGTTGCTGGTGCTACAACGATTGATAGTTTCTATTATGTATGCCTGGATGCCTATACTAATATTTTGCTCGTAATTGTATGCTCACTCACTCTGCTTCTTCTGCTGCTGCGGCTGCTGCTGCTGCTGCCTCTACTTCTTCTTCTACTCCCACTCCTTTTCTTACTCCTACTACTCCCATTCCTACTCCTTCGCCTACTCGTATTCATATCCCTTTCCTGTCCTACTCTCCGACTCTTGCCCCGATGAACTCCTATTCCTACTCCTACTTCTACTCCCATTCCTACGTCCTACTCCTTCGCTGTCTTACTCCTACGTGTATTCCACTACTATTAGTGCTACTAAGTTACTACTGCTACTACTACTACTGCTGCCGCTGCGGCTGCTACTAGTAGCTGTCATTACTGGACGACGATTGCTATTACTATTACTTCTACTTCGGCGATTGGCGACGGCGATAGCGGACTACGACCGACGAGACTTACGACGACTAGGTTATTACTACGACGAACTACTACTACTACTTACTACCACTCACTACTAACCACTACCACTACCACTTTACCAATACCACTACACTACCACTACCACACGACTACTACAACTACTACAGACTACTTACTACTACTAGTAACTACTGACTACTCAATTACTACTACTGACTAGTATACTACTACTGGTACTACCATGTAAGTAGTAGTAGTAGTAGTACTACTACTTATATACACTACATACTATCTACTACTTACTACTACTACTACTGCTACACGGTTGCTGCGCTACTACTACCCTAGTACTACTACTGCTACTACTACAATATATACAACTAACTAAACCCTAAAAAGACTACTAGCTACACTTTACTACTAAT